AAAGTGTCCTGCAGAAAGCAAACAGGCAATTACACCTCTGCAACAAAACCGTCTGATACAGCTAATAAAGCTTGTGGAAATGTATTTCATTTCTGCATTTGCAGAGCACGGCTCACCTTGGCTCAGTCACTCTGAAATCCCGACAGACTTTCCCCCGAGGAAGAGGCTGTGAGGATGTGAAATTGCTTTATTTGTTGTTTATACAAATGCCTTCACGGGTTGCAGCCGGGGTCCTACATACGCAGGCAGGCGGGCAGGCTGCAGCGTGCTGCTCGCTCCCCCCAGCAGCCCTGCCAGGAGCAGACCCTTGCCTCAGCCCCCATGCTTTGCAGCAGCCCCAGGCAGCGGGTCCTGCCCCGCGGGGCGAATTCCATGGAGGGGACAACACTGGCATCCCTGGGCATTTCACTCTCACCTCTCCATCCACACCACTTACAGCAGGGTGAGGTGGGGACTGGGTCTGGCAATGGTGCAGAGCGTGTGCCCGGGACCCTCAGGATCCTCCCGGGGTCGGAGACCCAGGCCAGCAGCTCCACTGCCTGCAGTCCAGTGGGCGATCCGGTGGGCAAAGTCACCACCCTGCGGCAGTGGGGAAAGGCAGCCCTCGGCTGCACCAGCACGCCGCTCCCTGCCACCCTTGCTCAAACACTCCTCATCTTCCCCGTCAAAAGCAGGGTGCACCGTCACTGCCCTGAGGCTGTGCGGAGTGACCCCTGAGTCCTCCGAAGCTTGCCCCAAAATCCCCTCCGGATCCTGCGAGGGGAACCAGGTAAACGCATCCTGTTACTGGGCAAGAAACGGTATTTTCAGTCCGAGCCCTTGCGTTAGGGCTGTATTATTAGTCCGCCCCAGAGGATGCCCGAGGAGAGCCCCGGGCCGCCGATGCCGTCCGAGCGACGTGTGCCTGTCCAGCCAGCCGCCCTTCCTGACTGTGAAGGAAAACTTGTGGTGGTGGGTTTGCTTCAGTTTCCCTAACCCTGCAGCTGGTTTTTCCTCCACGAAAGGGCGGGAGGCAGCCTGCCCTCGCACCCCGCTGCCTCCCCGTACCACCCAAAAAAATCCTCCTGCGTTATGTCCATAGCCTACAATGCCAGATCTACTCCTGACCAAGGTCGGTGGGATGGATCAGTTCCTCGGTTTATTGTCACTGCTATGATGAAGAACAACTTTAAAATACCAGTTCCTGGTTATTTGCTTCTTCCTTTCTAAGCAGCAGGGTCGGCAGCGGCAGCCTGATGTGCCTGCTCCTCCCTACAGGCACCAGTGTGTGATGGGGACACCTGGGACTTGATTTTGGACGCACCAGGAAAAAGACCATTGTTAAATAACCTATGGGCTTTTGAAATTGCTTAGGAAACCATTTTGATTGGCAAGTCCAAGGAGAGTACATTACATATTACTGATTACTTTCCCTGGCTTGCAATAGATTGCTGATTATTTTTACTTTCTTATGCATCATGCATGTGAATTGCTCAGCAAGACAATGACAGACTGCCTTATGGCAATCGTGCTGACTATCTTTACATGACATATGGTTTCATGGCCATCAAACTACCAAAACATCGTCACTCATTCTCAGGACAGGACTGTCAAGCACAATGACCACCTGGTTACCCTGGATTTCATTGGGAGGATTTTTAGATTAATCCATTACTGTGATCACTCATGTTAAAATGTTATACAAGGAATATACATTTGCGGCTATCACTTTCTTTACCAGTTACAGTGCTTTTTAAATATTAAGGTATTGCATGAGCAATTGAGGATACAGAGCACACACATTGCCTAGTGTCTTCCAGGAGAGATGAAACAGATAACTCAGAGGGAAGAGCTAATTCAATGTCGGAGGAGCCGGGGTCACATTCAGGCAGAGCAGCATTTCTGTACCCGAGCAGAGGTGTCCTGCCCTGCCCTGCCCACAGCGCTCAGGACAGCGTCTCCTCCAGGAGGGAGGATGCTCACAGTGGCAGGTAGCTCCAAGTAACTGCGTGGGGCTCTAGTATATCATAGAGGGTTTGCAAACCTGTGCTCACCACCAGAGTGGGGGAAGTGCTGAGGAAAAAACACCCAAACCCAACCATTTTGGTTTTGTTAACACTTCTGAACTCCCTGCTAGTTTTGATTTCTGCCGATGTCCTAGTTGATGGGATTAGCAAGATCAATGACCAAAATATTTCAAGAGCCACTTCCCAGAAATATGCATGTTAAAAGAAATTACAAATTCCTACATTTCACTTTGTGCTAGAAAAGCGATGCTGTGCAGAGAGCCGGAGAAACCATACTTACGCACCTACCTGCTTCACACATGAGAGGGAGGTGCTCCCGCCACACTATGGCACAGGAGTTAGGACCAAACACACACCAGCGTGCTGAAGAAAATGCCCCTCTATTCTTAAAAGATTGTGTACAGAAACTAATACAAGAAGTTATTCATTTTAATATATTTAGCTAGCAGCTTTAGTCCCCAAACAGTAAAACATCATCCCTCAAAGAGAGATGAAGGAGTAAGCTGAGACTCAGAAGGAAGACTCTTATCTTTGATTTTACACTGATGAAGATAAGCAACGCTACCAGCTTATTGTACCAGGTTTCTGGCAATGGGCTGCACGTACTCGGGGAAGAACCAGGCCGTTCCTCCCCCCTTGCAGGAACTGCCCCCAGACTTTACGTCCTGCCTTACTCACACGCTTTTGCAAGTTGCATCCAACATCACTCAGATGTCAGGGAAAAAAACAAAGGGCGGGGGAAGAGTCTCTGCACACCAGAACTCCAGGTGCCTGGCACGCCGGGAGGGGGAGCGGGCAGGAAAGCCCCCGCGGAGGGTCCCCGCATCACCTCAGGTGCTGCCCAGGGAAGGAGCTGCAGGAGCCCCTCGACAGGGTGGAGTGTGCCTGCAGCCAGCCAGACGTCCCCAAAACAGTGTTTGGAGACATTTGTCTCAATTCCCGCTGGCGATATAGGTCAGCCATGTCCCGGTCCCTTCGTATTTGCTGTTCACTAACATGTGTGCCCGGTCCTGCTCGTGCAAATATTAGAGGAAAGTTGCGGTTGGTGCTAATGTCCACTGTCACTGGCAAACAAAGGTGTACATGATTGCACACCTGTAACTTGTTCTATAGAACCAGCACTTCTGGTATCTTTACTAATGGTTTTAGCCTTTCAGGCAGGAGACAGAGAAAATAATATATAGCTGAGGTGAGCTGTCAAGTACCTCAAATATTAAATAATTATTTTGAACAGGCTTCGAACCCCCTGCCCCGCCAGTTGAGCACATACAGAAGTATATATTTACAAAACTCTGGATCCATCCATGCATTAATGAGGCTGGGAATGAAAGGTTGAACTCTCCTGCTAATGTATTCATGGTGGGGCCACCATCCTCAGCACGCAGGACACCTCGAGCAAATGGCCGGGGTCTGCCCCACCGGCAGGGCTGGGGGCCCCCCCGCTCCACAGCCACCCTGCCAGCAGGGCTGCAAATGGTGTTTTGGGGTACCCCCTGCAGCTGGAGTGCCGGGAAGGAAAGATGGGGACCGGGATGTGCAGAGGGCAGAAGGGCAGAGGACAGCTGGTGGCTGCAAAGGTGTGCAGGGAGGGTCCTGGGCACAGGGGGAAGGTTTCCCCCCTGGGGAGTCTAACAGGCGGCTGCGGGAAGGGTTGGGGCAAGGTGGGACAGGGTGGGAATAGCCCAGGAAAGTATTGCAGTGGGTGGGATGGAGAGGTGGGGAGCAGGGTCCACCCCATCTTCCAGAAGCTGTACACATTTGCTAAAATTTAGCGTAGAGAAAAAAGAAAAAAATCGTCCTAGGTGTCCTTGTTGTTGCAATGTTGTTTCTTTTCTAAATTTACTCCTTCAATAATTCTGAAAGTAATTTCTCTCATATTCTGTTGTATGAATTCTACCCTATTTTGAAGTGATTCTAAGTGATTACTTTTTTCTGCAATTTTCTTGCAATTTGGGACACTTTTGATAATAATTTGAGCTCAAGATTGCTGAAATGTCAAAATCCCCTGCAGAAGGTAACTTTCCCCCTCTAGGAACCTCTGCTGGTCGGGACGAGGAAAGGCTAGCCCTTACACAGTAGAAACACGAGACGATTAGACCCTGGGTAATGCTTTAGCTGGGGGAAGAGGAAGGGTACCCTCGCAGGGGTGTTACCACAAGATAGTTGGCCTGCAAGGACACAGGAAAGTTATGTGCTTTGTATTTCTTTGGGTTTAGTCAGGTATAAAGGAAAGAATTCACGAAGCTTAAACAAAAGGCTGCTGTAAATCTGTTTGCACGAGCAGAAGTGTACCATGTATTTGGTGTCTGGGACCTACAGGAATAAAGTATATTCGGTGCATTAATGCCACACTTGGGATTCCTCACTTCTCCTTACTCTCACAGCAGTACATATAACCTATTTGTACAAATTTCTACATGACAGGTGGTCAGTGAAGCTTTCTAGCTCACAACACACAGTAACACAGGTGCCTGTCCTGACTGAGTTCATGGCTCAAGGTTTGCACTTGAAGTACCCCAACAGACCTAGTCACTGTTTGTCCACTGCTTGGTTTTGTTTTTATCTTCCAAACTTTCTTTCATGGCTCCCTATGTAAAAAAAGGAAATCTCAGGTTTGCGTCAAGAAAAGGAAGAAAACAAGCAATGTGCTATGGACTGGACAAAGAAGCTACCAACCAACCCATTTTGCACTGGTACTGCCAGGCGTTGCAAAAGCTGCTTTCACTTCACCGCAGCATTGCTGCTTCCCTCCGGACAGATCTCCTCTTCGATGCAGAGGAGTCCGTTGGAAAGTTGGAGTCTTTCCTTCCGAAACTCAGAATCAGCAAAACACCCCACCGGGGCTGCTGTTGTCAGTGCGCTCGTACTTGCGAAGCGCTGTCTATCGAGGCTGGTTTTCTTCCGAGAGAAGTGCAAAGAACACAAATGACCTCTGCCATCGCTGCCCGCCGCAGGTAGCACTTCTTTAGCAGGCACATCTGTCTCTTCCCGCAGAGCTGAGCCGGGTATCCCCGTACCCATCCCCTGCTGCTCGCAGCCTTTTCACCATCCCCGACCCAGTGAACCAAACCCCACGAGACCTGCTGACCCCAGACCTGTCCCTGCACAGTCCCAGGGACATGTGCCCAGGCACGGCGAGGCTGCCCGAGAAAGGCGCGGGAAACGATGCTCTTTGGGACCACGAGGAGGAGGAGGAGGAGGAGGCCGACCTGGGATGCGGGTGAGGGGCGAGGGTGGCGAGGTCTAGGGTCTGCTGGGAGGTCCGGGGAGCATGCAGGGGCATCAGAGCCACTGGAGGATGTCCGGAGGGTCCCCGTGCCCCATGGGGAGCTGGGGTCCGGGGTCATCCCCGCACCGTGGCGACGGCTCCAAGCATCCCAGCGCTTTGCCGACAACTTGACAAATTTAGTTTAACTATTTTGATGTAATAATGTAATTAGGTAAAAGGGTTCAGCAACCGATTGCGTTTCACTGATTTCAACCATCTGCTTCAACATTTGTTCTTATGTGTACCAGATTTCAGAGTGTCTTTGCTCTAATAGTAATTAATGAAACTGTTAATAAGCTACATATATCATATTATGCTGCAATAATTTATCAAAGGATAATGTTATGAGACAAATTATATATAACAATTATAGAAAATGGCTTACATTACTAAATGTTGCACACTGCTAACTAGTTTCTTTACTCTTCTCTTCTTAATGAATTCCCTAATTAATTTAATGCATACTTTATGCATAATTTGAAATTTAAAAACATTGCTGGGTCAGGTTTTAACCATCCTCTTTTACATGCTGTCTGCTTCTACAAGACACATATTAGCAAAACATGACCTCTATGCAAATTACCGAGCCCCGCTGCTATTTCCATTCCCAATCCCCGTGAACGCGCTCCGGCGCGCTCCCCCTCGCCCGTGGGTGCCCTGGCCACCCTCGCCGGACTCCTCGCGCCCCTCGTGTTGCAGCGCACGTAACGGCGACGTACGTACCCTAACGGCGGCGTACTTCATGAGAGCCACAGCGAATCTAGGTCACTATTTATAACAAAAAATAAACATCAATAGCTATTCTAATCTTTTATTACATAACCAGCTCCATTTTGGGGAGAGCTGCTCTCAATCATACTTTGCGCAAACAGCCATCTAAAAATAGAGCTTTGCCGCCATCATGCACTGAAAATCACCCCCCTCCTGAATAATGAGGTCTGCTTAAAAATCTAGAAACCCTGCAAAATATATTTCTCAATCTTCAGATTTTTAAGTGTCCAACACAATTGCCCGATATTTCCCTGTTTTCTACACCTACAGCTTCATGGTTTTCCTGCAGAACACAACCATAAACTTTTCTTTCAAAGCCAAGGTTTCCATTCTCATCTGACTGTATAATTGCTGTGTGTGGAGACTTCAAGAAAATCACCAAATACCACTGGCAGTACAGATGAACTACCAGGGGATTCTAAATTCAGTGTTTCCTAAGTTTTTACAGACTGAATTTCCATAATAAGAGAAATAAGATATCCCACCACGGAGGTTACAGTTAGTGATGTACGGACCAGACTGTTCACGATACGCACAGTGAAGGTGAAACTCCTCTCTCTTGACAGTTACATGAGAACTGAGTCTTAATTCAAGTTTTGAGGCTTATATGTGATTTGCCAACACCCTGTAGGACTCATCTGTGTTTACACAGTACACATACCTACTACTTCATTATATTAAAAACTTATATCTGGAAAGCGATTCAATGCAAAACTGTGGATCGCACTGAGGAGCAGGCTCTCAGCAATGTGGATGGCAGATGTTTGTTTCTGCAGCACAAACATTTGCTGACACACAAATAATCGACTCTGCACCTCACTGCAGGGCTAGTGGTGCTGGCCGAAGGCTGCAATGTCCGAGACCTTCTGCAGTGCTGCATGTAAACACAACCTCACCTCTAGCATCAAATGGACAAAAAAAATTCTTCCCAGCAGTAATAAATACCTGCTAAGTAGAATTAAGGTTTCATTTGGAAGGGACTGCATTATTAACCAAGACTCCAGAAAGTGATCAAACGAGCTATGGTCGCAGGCTGCCTGGGCTGTGCCTGGCCAGTGTCCCAGTGTCTCCGAAGGAAGGGTGCCCAGCATCCGTGCATCCATGCCCACAGCTCACAGATTCCCGCTGCATGAGTCACTGCCTGGAGCAGCCCAGCGGCTGGCAAGGAAAGCAGCAGAAAACCAAGCAAAACAAATAGCTCCCCGACCAGAGGAACATGCGGTTGTCTGCACCTTCATGTTCCCTGGTGCCAGGTACCCTTGCGGAACAGGGCAAAGGTCTGGGGAAGTGCATCGTGCAGCTGAGCCCCTGTCACAGCCCACCAGTGTGGATTCTCTGATGGCTAACATAGCAGCTGAGCATTCTCGCTCAGTGGGGTGCTGAGCTGGGGCTTTCTTTCCTCCACTTGGGTAGTTAATGTCCTCAAGTCATGTATCTTTTGTCAAATTCAATTAAAGTTAATTAGCAGATTCAAAAGCCAGCAGGACCTCAGAGAGGACACAGAGAGAGAAAGAGAGAGATTTATCATATCACCCTTACTTAATATAATTAACGTCTTACGGAACTTAGTATCTTAATGAACAAATCATTCACAAATAATTCACTACTATTCTAGTGGTTTATTAACATTTGGTAGGTATGGTTGAAAGGAAAACATGACTTCATAGTTGGGAACGTGTACAAAAGTACGATGTGAACTAGATGGAAAGAGCCAGCATGCTCAGACAGCTGTAATGTTTGAGATGCCCAAGCTCCTGGGACGGAGAAGGGAAGGACCTGCCCCAGGGACCTGCTGAGAAGCTCTCACTGCTCTGGACGTGCCAGCTGGGCACAGCCCTGCCCACAAGGACTCGAGCACCTCACCAGGAAAGTCGCAGCTGAGACCAGTGTTTTGTGGGCAGAAGTCCTCTCCTAACTCCTACCACAGCCACAAACTGTCCCAGCTGCAGGGCAATGGGCCCAAAGACATTTTAACCACCTCAATACGATGGACACCTTGATGCCTGCAACGCATGGAGGCATCCTGGACTGCTAACCTGCAAGAGCCCATGCAGATGTTCTCTCTGAAAGTCTCTTCTCCGCTCCCCCCCCCCCCAGTTGTTTTTCCATCAGGATTTCCCGGTTTGTATCTTTTCCCTTCATTATGGATCATTTGCTATATTTTGCCTGAACATCATGCCAGGCTGCAGAAAGCTTGGTGCTCTTGTGCTCAGGAGGGAAGCATTAAAGTTAGTGAAAAGTCAAATAAGAAAGATCTAAACTACTGAGATGTTTCATTTAAAATAGCTTCTGTTACTGTGGGCAGCCCTCAAGAACTCAGCGATGGAGCAGCCTGAGCTACCGCAGCCAGGGGCTGCAGGGACGCGGCTCGGCTCTCAGACCTGGCACCATGGGGTCGTCACCCCTCTGGGGTCACAAAACCGAGCAGTCGCACCTCAGCAGTGTGTACGGCCATTCTTCCAGCAAAACGTGGCTGTGCACACAGCTGCAATGACAGCAAGAAAAGGTATCCTGGTCTTTTGGCAGGTTGCTACAAGTTAAATATCTATCTATTCTAGCGTCACCACTGCTATATTCTTAGGTTACATTTTATACATATACACACAAATACATTTACCAATTTCTGAGTAAGATCCTTAATCTTTAGGTCTTTCCTTCTTCTGTCTGCATTCACGCTTAAATATGTCTACTTTGCTGTTGTCCCCTTCTGTGTGCAGAACAGGTTTCTTTAAACAAATGTCAACATGATTTGCTTAATGCAGTGGCTGTGTCCATATCCATGCTGGTTGCCCATGAAGAGTACACTGTGGTGCTGTATGATGGAGAAGTAATTAAGTAACCAAGTAATTAAGATATAGCAGATCCTCCCTTGTCGCAAGAGGAGGAGCTTGACAGCTTTTTGTGTTACCCGTTTGTATTATTTTCTGCTATTTTCAGCCAAAAAGGGCCCTTGTATTCTGCATGGTAGGATCAACCACACATGTCTAATCTTGCCCTTTGTGGACCACTGTGGTGTCTTCGACATCTGCATGGTGTCCTATGCTCCAGAGAAGAAATACAATTTATCAAGCCATCCAGCCAGGCTTTAGACTTCTCTTTGGACAATATTTTTTTTACATTACTAAAATATTATATGGAGACCCAGAGTGAGTTATTATAATGTTACATCATCTCTGGGACGCTTCTGGCTGGACAAAATGTTGAGTTTTCATCTTCAAGTCAGCTCGCTTCTGTGCTTTTCCATCTGACACTTCAGATTATTTTAATGATGGAGTAGCCTTGATTAAATTAATTCCTCCCTACAAAAGCAGCTGTCTTGTGTCAAGGAATCTGTTCAACTATCTGGAACATTTATACTTGCCAGGGAGGAGAGCCAAAGCACAGAGTTAGCAGAGGGAATGCCTGACCATACCAAAACAGCAACGACTTTGTCATAACTCATAAGCACGAAGACGAAGCTTCGAGGAACATCTTGGGTCTCACTCTCTGCCCCACGCAGGGCTGCACCCTGCCGGGGATGTGCCCGGCTATTAGGAAAAAGGTTGGCTGGCCTTTCCCATCTGCAGAAGAAGGTGCTTCCCTGCAGCTCCCGGGGACCGAGGTCGCGGGGGGGGTCAGTGCTCACTGGCGAGCACCGCCGGGTCCCCACACACAGCTGCAGCTGAGACACGCTGCGCTCCTGGGCTGGCTCCCGGGGGGTTCGCCCGGACCAAACACCCAAAGTGCGGCCCTTGGCCGCGATGGCCGAGTCCCAGCAGTGGGGACCCTGGCCATGCTGGGACGGTGCGCTGGAGCGGGACGCTGAGCGCTCCCACTGCTGGGCGAGACGGCCAGGAATGGCAAAGGAAGAAACCAAAATAAGAATGAAAAAACAGTGCCAGCATAGTGAATGAACCCACAGTTTGTGGTTTATCTTAAACTTTTTATTTTTAAACCAAAGGTACTATTTAAGTTTAAGCTTGACTCCAAGATTCCTTACTCTCAAACAGCTACTCATTTCTTTCCCCTTCTAGCAGTCCTTTTGCAAACTTAGCCTTCACTCCCTCTTACTGAAAGGCCTTAAACATGCACCATCCACACACACAAACCCTGCTGAAATCAGAACTGCCTGCCACGTCTGAGGGGAGTTTGCTTTACAAAGAAAAGCCTTGGAAAAACAACTGAATTGCCATTACTTTTGTTTTCGATCTCACGATATAACCCGAGGCTGGACTTTGAAATTACTATTTTTTTGAAGTATGAATGTAATTTTTTTCCATTCATTTTTTTCCTTTAACTATTTGTATGCACTGCAGTGGGTTGGAGCCCTTTATTTAAAAAAATCTCCTGCTTTGTGAGTTGGGATACCGTGCATTGCCTTTATACTTATTAATACCAGAGTTTAGGAGAGCTATAAAATACTGACCAGCTCAGGCTTTTTCCTCTTTCACTTCGGTGCCTGTATCCTGAGTTTTCACAACTGATGCCCACACATTACAACTGATCTTACAGCTCTTTAACCTGACCATGTCTACAGGTGCAACGGACACCACACCGACTGCGCACCATTGTCCCCACTCACAGCCTGCACAGCGTTCACTAACAGAGGGACGCTGCTTGACGGGGACCCTGGCACGGGGAATCGACGCTCCCGGACAGGGCAGTGGGCCGGTGCCTGCTGGTGACGGGATCTCCGCTGCAAGGCTCCTGGCAGCGGTGGGACGGCAGAGACTCCCCGCGCCGTGGTTCTGCTCAGTCACAGGGGTCTTGTGTGACTGTCCCAGCGCCCGGAGCTCACAGCGACTGACACACCTCCACCCAGCGCAGAACATCTCCCAGATGTCCAAACCCCAACACAGAGCTCACGGCGACTGACGCACCTCCACCCAGCGTGGAACATCTCCCAGATGTCCAAACCCCGCGCGGGCCACCCTACACGACCACGTCTGCAGGAAAAGCATCTGGTGCCGACTCACACCGGGTTTTGCCCACGCACACAGCCTGCCACCCCGACACCAGGGGACACCGGGGGTCACCGCGCCCAGGTGTTAACCCACAACCACAGCCGTACGCCCCGGCCAGGCGCAGCGGGGCTGCCCTGGGGGTCTTTCTAGCACTCCCGCAAAGCCCACCTGAAGCAGGGCCCTTGCCTGGTCCCCGCAGGCGGCCCCA